GATACTGTACAAACATTTTGTTTGTGAAATATATTGTCAATAGTTTTTATTGAGTGGTAAAAATGTAAGTATTGTGAGGTAGATAAAGTAAGTAATATATCCATGAAACTTCCCTTACTCGGTTTTGAAGTAAGAAAGACATTGGTGGTCTCATTGGGGGTCAATCCCCGCCAGATACAATAGAAATTGGATGCTAATAATTATTAATGTGCGATGCTGTGCCGTACTTAACAAAACAATCCCAATGAACATCTCGTCAAAACTCTCGGTAAGGACTTCTCGGTTCTCTTTTAGACGAATACGAGAGAAATTATATTTTCATGCCGTGCTGAAACGAAGCAATCGCCACAAATATCTCGATAAAAACCTCTCTGTAAGAACCTCTCGCTAAGCAAAAATACAATCGAAACGTCTCGAGAGGTTTAAACAATCTAAATGTTTCGATTGTAACATCTCGCAATCGCGCATCACTGGTCTGTGGTACAGGATGAAAAGCCACAGAAGGAGGGTTGGGTAGAGCCAAAGATGCGATTGTTGGTGTTAGTGGTCACAGTTTCTTGAATAGAACTCGTTTTATCTAATAACTTATTACTATATATACACATATTAAGATGTACATCCAAGATGCTGTTAACCCTGGTGATGATGATTGCCTGCTGTTCCCATCCGTTCGATATGTAGGCCTAACCTCACAACACTCAAAATTGATTTCAAGGACTGATGTGAAACATAAGCATGGTAGCCTACCATTTGATACTATCAGTAACCATGGTAACATGTAGAATGCACGCGCATGTATGAATAAAGAGCAGGAATGACAATGTTTTACAAAATTTTTAGGTTTGATTTCATCTTTAGAGCGAATTTCCCATACAGGGAATAAGCTATATTACTGTAGGTATCATGGTAAGGCCTGGACCCGGGACCGATTTACTTATTAGATGACCCCAGAGGTCAAAAAACCATCTGTTCAAATTCATATATGTGTGTCTGTTAGCATGATAACTGAAGCAAAAATTATAAAATTTTGATTAGATTTGGTACAAACGTTTAAACCTACAGTTATTTACAAGCATGATCAGACTATGGGAACAGGGTTTACGCGGTTAAAATTGGGTTTTCCCATTTTTGAGCCTAAAAACGTAACATTTCAAAATTTCTTTCCAAACCATTTTGTAGAGCTTTCAAAAAGAAATAATGTAGTATATTGAAGCGTTCTTTTATGCCTAACAGTTCTTATGTTATTCTTAAGAAGAATAAACAAAACTATTGTAGTTTGCTTGTTAATGATAGATTCAATCAATTTGGCAATTTTGTTTTTTCACATACCGGTACAACACAATCAACATTTCAATAAAAAACAAACCTCATTACCTTCTCTGTAACAGCAAACCTTAGTACTCATTAAAATTAATGTTAAGGAAATAGGAAATAAATCTGACAATTTTAAGGGAATATTTTAGTAGAAATCCAGATAGGTAAATGAAAATTCACTTAATATGCAGGTTTGCTGTGGCAGGGTATTTAAGAGTGTTTTAATGTTTATGTATACATATTTTCAACTTTTATATAAGTTATGTAACGTTTTATCATTTTTAATATGATTTGCTTTTAACACTTGTTGACTAATGATATTAAAAACCTGCCTTTGTTCCAATTCCATTTCCACACCTCAGTATCCATAACTGGTAACACGGCAAGTAACCTATCACTAGCAAAAGACTTTCTGTTGTTTTGTTCTTAATGTGATTTAATTGTTGTACAATGTTCAGTTTGTGTTTGTTAAGTTTGAGTAAGCTGAGATTTTAAACACGGCAGTTCAAGTCTATTAATAATAATAACGCGGCTGAAACCAAGGTTTATAAATAACTGAAACTCATAAAATACCATTATTGCTCGGTATGAATGATTTTTGTGACGGCAAGACAACTCTTGGTTGCCTGACCTCATATGAAGAGATGCAATGACGTACCAGAACCCAGGGCTACAGATATACAAGGGCAAGCTCACTCCTTTGATGTTAGCGGTCGCCGCTTGATCCTACTTCCCCTCCCCCGCCACTCCTCAGTGACGTAGCGGAGATACATCGGCGCGAGCACAGAAAACATACTACTAAAACCCAGAATGCCAACCGCATGGTAAAAAGCATTAAGTGTTTTGAGAGAGCTTTGCCTATCAATCGTAGGCAGCGCCACCACCATTGCTATGCTGAGTGCACAAATACGCATGTCAGCTGTCTGCTACAATATTTTCGGAACTAAAATGAAAAGCGCTTAGAGACAGACCTCCGGAAAAAGCTCTGAACCTGACAAATAAAACGATACCTAACTCGATGCAGTTCAATCCAATTTTGTCAGTCATAGAGCCTTCGCCGTAAACAGTGTTTGTGAGTCGATGCATCGACACAAAACACTACACAAAGTGTGTTATGTGTCGACGCATCGACAAATAACACTCGGAGGGTCAAAACCCCACAAATCAACTATATAACATGAAAGTAAACTTATTCCCCAACATGAATATACATAGTTATAAAGGCAAATACAAAAATAAATATTTTATAGTTTTTTCTATAAAATGCTGCTGTGCCTTTTTCACTTGGCGATTAAATCGTTTGTTAATTATGACGAAATGTTTCAAAAACGGGCTAAATGTAATGTCCCAGACCTCAAATTAAGAAAGTATATCCACATAAAACAGTTTATAAACTAAATAAGTACAATTTTTACAACTAATAAATACGATTAAAGTGATAAAGTCAAACCCGCGATATTCGTTGTTGGTAAACAGTCAATGAAGTTCACAAAACTGGCTAAAAAATAGTGTCTCAAGTTTCTAAAAGTAATGTCACATTACAGTCGAGGCACAATAAATAATATCGTAACGAAACATTTACAACTTATAATCACGTAGTAAACTGATAAAGTAAAATCACACCAAAACTCGACTTGTTATTGGTCAACAGAGATTGAGATTAGTTAGTCAGGCAACTTAATGTATTTTTGCAACTATATGTTATTTTAATGTATTCAAATATGTAGGGCCTATAATAAAATGTAATTGATTAATTGAAATTCTTTTCCTTCCTGTAAAAGTTTCAAAATACTAAGTATAGGAAATGTATTTTTATACAACCTCAATGTATTTTATATAACCTCAATGAATCCTAAAATGTATGAATAAGTAATAAATAAATACAATTAATAATCCATACATTAAGATACATTCGAGCAATACGAACACAGATATTACACAGTAACTTAATACATTGGATCAATAATCACAGTATTCTTAGCCATCGCTTTACATTCCACTCCCATCCTTAAATATCTACTAAAGTTAATTTTTTACTTATTAAAATTGATGTTATACGTAATGCTATTTGAAAATCAATTACTTTTATAAAATACATTGATACCTAATAAAAAATGTCCAACATAGAGCTCAATAAACGCTAAATGTGCGGTAATACCAGAGCTCACACAGGCAAAGATATACGGTGCCGGGAGCCCGAGGTATCGCCGTGACGTCACAGCGGCGGAGTGGTGGGGAGCCACCTGGCATCACTTTCTGAGCTCGCATGGCCTAGCCCTTGTATATCTCTAGCCCTGACCAGAACCAGAAAAGTAATATTTTAGGTGTCAGCAAGACACTCGCCGATGTTTTGACATATTGTGTTGATGGTCATCTATTGTCACATGTACCTACAATTAGTTACCTACTTCAAACACTATGTTTTACTAGCCTACATGAAAAAAATAGCACTTTTGAGAAATTTCCTGTGATTCCCAAAAAGGCATATCTTAAAAAAAAAAACTAATAGCTCTCACAATTTTTGTTTAAGTAATAAAAATTGATTTTTTCACTTAAGTTGATATATTTTTATCAATAACCTACAAACTTTATTCTAATCACAATGGGTAGGCTTATTTATAAGGTTAATTTAACGGTTTTTTTTCTCCTTGCAGACTGATACCACTTTGTATATCAAAATGCACCAAGTTACAAAATCATATATTTCTTTCAAATGGGTTTCCAGCCGATCTATATGTTACGTATAAGAAAAAACAGTCAACAGAAGAGTTTTTGTTTTTAAAATGTTGATTGTTCTGATAACATTAGTGTTTCTGTGATTTGAAGTTATTTTTCTAGCTGACAAATATTTTTCTAGCTGAATTTTTGACAAATTCGTTAATTTGATCTCCCACCAGAATATTAGTTGAAATTGTGTAAAATAAATAGTTTTGACTGTTTCCTGGCTACAATTTGTCAATGTTACTCAACATGTTGTATTTATTAGTTAATAACCAGTGGTTCATCAGTGGACCAATGCCAGATAGAGAAATATTTTACATTTGGATTATATACTGTCTGTTAATATACCAGATGATGATTACTTCTAACTTCAGGCTGCTACTATCAGCTGTTTGCAAATATACAGATTTTCTGTGTACAGCAGTTGTTTTTTTTCTTAAATTCAGTAGTTTGTTGTACAAATAGGCCAGAAAATATTCTGAGCTATTGCAGTTTCAGGCTATCAGAGCTATCAGAATTAAATTTGCATCGGAGTAAAAAGAACCAAATCATTGGGACCCTAGGGTATGATGATACTGTTAATATTGAAGGGAAAGAGACGCTTACGACTTAGGTTTTTTATTGTTTCTCCGTTTCTAAGCCCCTCGATATTTTCTTGAGCTCTCTCCCCCATCCCAAACCCTAGTCAAAACTGCAAAACAGGATTCCATGTTCTTGCTTTAAATGTAAATGTTATTCCACCTTATCCAAACAACCACTTAGTCTAATCCAAACAGGATCCGGTCCTAATGTGCTTTGATTAGCAAGATTTTAACTAGGCCCTAATTATAAAATTGACATCAGATGAGCTTTGATATTTTTTCCATCTGAATGTTGATAACTATCATGCTGCAAATGCGTATTAAATTTAGATTCTTGCAGCAAGTAACATTCAATTAGATATTTATAATTAACTAACTACTAACCTCTGACTTAGTATCCAGGGTAGGGAGTTCCCGGTGCAAACACATTTGAGCAACCTTGATAACATGTTCCAGTTTACGAGGCTGTTCCTCCACCTTAGCTGCCAAGAACAGAGCCGCTGCTGCCATAGCATTGCGGTGGAACTGCGTGAAGGAGTGGAATACGTAAAACCGATGCATGTAAACAATTGCGGTGTTGATACATAGCTGGGTACTGTTTTTAATAGTTAAGGATTGCAACTGTACCCAATTTATTATATGTATTAATATAGGCTAAAATAAATCCACATTAAATGGTTCGAAGGCAAAAACTTACCTATGTAACTAAAATGAGAATGAAGAGAAAAAACTAATGTAGGGATTGAAGTAATGTTGGTCAATCTATTTTTACAAGTGCGTGTCAAGGCAGAGTATTATATATTTATTAATTTTAACAAATAATTCCAAATATAAATGTCTGAATTTGTACTGTACTAAACAGAGTAGGCCTACCAATATTTTAAAACTCGTGGAATAGGCATTCTGAAAAATATTTACTTTGACATTGGATAGACACATCATCTATCCAACGGTACTTATGTGCTGGACAAAATACCCCGCTGATATAGTACAGTAGACCCCCTCTTAACCGACCCTAATGGGACCGGACCTACGTCGGATAACTCAAAAGGTCGGTTAAAACGGGCAATCCCTAAAATCATAACATAATGAAAAGCTATTCATTTGGAATTATATAATCAATATTTTTAAGTCATACTTGCATTATTTATAAAATAAACTACTCTTATCTCCTTTTTCGTATTGATGGAAAAGTCACAAATAAACACAAAACACGGTTAAGTCTAATAGGCCCACTTTCAGTGGAATATAATATTGTACTAGGCAAAAAGGCAACAGTCAATAAAATTTCTATTTTAATACGTTTAGTACTGTAATGTATTAATTGATGCTCTTCAAATCCATCATAATACAGTAGCCTACAGAACCTTTTGTCGAAATTAAAGATACAAGCAACCATTTTGTTACAAGGGACAGGATGTTTATTTATAACCCCTCACTGTAGGCTTGAGCGAAGCACAAAAACTATCTTGACCTTGGAGTTGTTAACCCCCCTACCCTGCTCTCCCTACAAGTTGCGTTGTTTGTTTACTCTAACGATAAGATAATCAGTTCTCAAAATCGTAACGCACTTTATGATGTTATAAATTTGCCGCACAGATAACATATCAGATCAGATGTGCTCGAGCTACGATAACGAACGATGATGACAAACTGACAATAGGCTATGCTATATTTTTTGTGATCAATACAAAATAACCTATTCTTAGTCATATCCTGTAGAGCTAAGCGTATGGTTCAGTTCTCATCGCCCAGCGTGGGAGCGGAAATGCCGAGATTCCTAGAAAGCGGCGGTTAAACTGAACTGCTCTCAAAGCAAGGTCGGTTAAAACAAACTGAATTATTTCACGATCAAAGGCGGATAACCCGATTATCGGTTAATACGAGGTCGGTTAAGAGGGGGTCTACTGTAATTGGATAATGCTAACCCAGTCTACATTCTAGAATCTGCCTACGAATCTAAATTTTTTTCTGGAGTTTTCATAAGAAATAAACCAAAGATGATGACCACAGTTACAGTTTGCAAGTGAGATATCTGCCAATAGTTACATGTGTGCAAGTACCTAAGTGAAAACTATTCTATTTTCATTTTCACCTGGGGGACAATTCAATGACATAGAATCAAGAAATTGTATTTAGCCTATCAGGTACTATGTAGACAACAATATATGCAATGGATGAAAGTAATCTTAAAATAAATCAGATTTTCAAATCAGGTGCAATGACAAGATATTCTGATATCTAGAGCAGCGGTTCCTAAACTTTTTGACTTTTTTCCAAATTTCCAATATTTTCGCACCCACCTATTAAATACTATTAATAGGCTATTTACTATTCATTAATGTAAATTTATTAATGCTATTAAGTAAGGCCCCTATTAGACGAGGAAGCCTAGCTGAGTATACGTCGCCAGCGACCAAACTGGCTACTCAGCTTGTCAAGGGTCATTGATTCTAATGGATGTTATTACACGAGGGTAGCCAGCGACGCAGCCACACTTTGGCGACCGACTGGCTACCGAGCCCCGTCGCCACTGCTACCCATATTGGCGACGCTGCGGTAGCATATGGAGCTTATTACACTAGGTCGCTAGTATCACGTCGCCACTCGGTCAGTTCATATCACGGGGGTACTTGCACACTTGTGTTTTGAGTGGGTGAATTGTTCACTTCAGTTGATAAAATGTCTACATCTGATTCAGTCGAAGGAATACGCAATGATATGAAGAAAAAAGAAGAACCTCCGAAAGGCGAACAAAAGAAAGAATCAAAGAAAAATTAAGAAGAGCCGCCGATAGGCGATCAAAAGAAAGAAGCAAATAAAAAGCCAGAAGAGCACATGAAAAATTGGCAGAAGTTGGCCGACACAAAGTTGAACACTGAAGACTAAGCAGACTAAACATTGGATCAACGTATATTTTTCTCTTCCTTCGCCTCCTTTTCTTCAGAAGTAACAGAAGGAGAAGATACTTATAATCATTCATTATTCACTGTAAACATACCGCTCATAACAAGTACAGGTACAAGACAAGCACTCACAACAAAATTAGTAACGGCGGTAAAATTCTAGCTACTCAACTGGCTACTAGGTTTGGTGGCCAGTGCGTCGCCAGCTACTGTCGTTGGCGACGTCGCCAGGCTACCTCGTCTAATAGGTGCCTAAATGGGATGGTGAGAAACACAAAACTAAATAAAAAACTAAAAAGTAGGCTTTACTTCATCAAGCAGCTCAAATTTTGTAACTGTTGGTTACGGCCATTTTGGCATCGCAATGCCATCGTCAGACACAAATCTCGGCTAAAGTAGCGTTGTCGAAGTTAGAACATATAACCATTGACAATACACAGAATGGAATTCACATGTAATGTAAAGATTTGAAGCCAAAAAACATAGAGCAATCTGTTGAGATGGTCACCAACTTATGGCAATATTCTGTGTTAAATGATAAATCAATCACAATACACTAACTAGTACCCTCTGGTAAGATGGTCCTGAACTTCATATATTTTCATGGCTTCAAATTTTTACATTACATGGAAAGTCTATTTTGTGTATTGTCAATAAGCACAAACGGTGTCTTGCTCAGAACGTGAAAATGTCATGTTGTGTGACAGGTCTGTTTGTTTTTGTAAATTTTATTCATAAATACTTGTGTGTGTTATGTGTTTTACTTCGGCGACGCTACTTCAGCCGAGATTTTTGTCTGATGATGGCATTCGATGCCAAAACGGCAAACCAACAGTTATAACATTTGAGCTGACGAAGGTAAAGCCTACTTTTTAGTTTTTTATTTGAACATTCCTAGTTCAAAACTTAAAACAGGCTAATGACGATTAACAGTAAATATATACAGAAAATATTTTGATGTAGTGTTCATTTTCTAGTTGCTCAGTAGCATTCTGTTGGTCACCCTACCGTTTGGGTAGCCCTATTGGAATATTACAGGTCCCAATTTAAAAAAAAACATTTAATAATGTTTGGTTTCTTCCCACTACCCGCCAGTGGGTCGCAACCCATAGTTTTTGAACGGCTGATTTAACCTACTTTTCCATTCCTACAAATTTGTGCTGGGCACATGTGTCCGCCGTGTGCCCAGCACAAATCTCCAAAATTTTAGGAATGGAAACAGCCTGGCACAAGTCACGGCACAAATTTGTGCCCGCCGACTGCGCGACAAAACATGTGCCCAGTTGGAATGGAAACAGCCGGGCACATGTGCCTACAACTCGCGCATGCGCAGGTCCTCCGAACTACTGCATGCTCATAAATGACAGGTAATCAGAACCTCAAATTTCGTTGAGTTTCTTATAGGAAATTTTCGAAGCCAATTTGTACGCGCAAATCTCTCATTAATTAATTAAATGCGCCTTCCAATGGTCTTTTAGCCAAAAAACTTCTTATCCACCATCTAGGTCGTTTTCTTCTTTTTCTTCTAAGTTCATTGTATGCACCAGCCATAAATAAAAAAGCAGAGGCTGTTATGTCATCCATGGCGATTTGTAGAACACAATATAATCAAAATCAGCCACCAACCTCATCACATCACAATAAGAGAGCAACTACCTTGTCTGCCAGTTGTAGTCCGGACTTGTGTCTGGAATGGAATCGGCATGACAAACTACGTGCAACATGTGCCGTGACATGGTCTTGACATGTGCCTATCACTTCGACTCAGTCAAATTGTAGGAATGGAAATGTAGCTTTAGAGGCTCTGATATACAAAGGGTTTGAATATATGTCACAGTCAACCATCGTGAGCTCAGAGGGAAAGGGGGAGGAATCACTTCAACGTCAGCCCTTTGTCCTCAGTGATTTTTGGACCATATTGTGCGAGACAAACCGATTTGTTTAATTGGGTGAAATCAGTGTCCATATTGTGACCTCCCTATTACCCGTGGGTTTAAAAATGATTCTTAAAGGTGTGGATGCTGTTGATGATCCCCAATAATCTAGCAATAGGGACCCATAAAACATTAATTAAGACCTAATAGGGTGTCTGAGGGTATTATTCGGTCTAATTGGATCGAGTTTGACTAGAATCAATGGATTGGAAGAGGTCTAAGACCATTTTTTTTGTTCTTACACTCAATCTCGTCTGAATCTCATACAAAACGTCTCAATTACGTCCACTTAACGTAACAAGACGCTTTTGAAAGTTTAAAGTCGATACGAAAAGAAATTAGGCCTATCGACTTTTTGTCTAAAGACTCCTACCGCAGATCATTCGTAACACCGCACCTGCATTTTTCCTCCAAAACCAAATTTTAAATAAGACTTAAATATTACTTTTTTTTAGTGTCAATATCTACCCTCTATTGTAAATATATACATACAGAATAAATCAATTAAATAAACAACAATTAACACTAACTATTAGACAATAAAAAGTAAAAGTAGGCTACAGAAATAATAGCAGAGACAATCAAAACACAATAGCCTAGATGACAAATGGAACAAAACTTTGAGAACTTAGCTACACTAGAGGTGAAACACAGTGGCAGCGGTGTTAATGGTCAGTGCTACATGACCATTAACATTTTGAATAAGTGTTAGAGATAGTGGAAGAGGAATTTGGAGAGTGAACAGAGGTCCAGATGGTTCTTAGAAATACGCCTGTTTAGTAGCCTTCTCAGACTCGCACGAGTGCCAACCATAATAACCATAAAACACATATTTTAAACTAAAATACGAGCGCCCAAGAGAAGTCACCTCTCAGTTGTTATGACTCAGCCATAAGTTTTTGGTGACTATTCAAAAATATCCTGGTCCCAAACATAATGAATATACCGTTTAACACTAACTTTTTCCTGGACTAGCACTTCACAATAGGCTGTATTCTTGGATTCCAGTAAACATATTCTTTGTACTAACCATTAAAAGAGTTTTGAAATGTTGAATCTAGAAAGTCAAGCCTAATTTAGATGCAAGACACTCATTCTCTGCTTTCGTTATACATGTGCTAAAGCAGGGAGTAAGCTATTTGAAAAATCAGTGACATTTCAGGGACATTTGGGGGCCCTATCTACAAAAATCAGTGACATCGAACTAAGTAAATTTCTGCGAGTTAATTTTATATTTGCTGTTGAAGTAAAAAATGTATATTAAGTCACAAACAAGGCCTAATATAAATTCAGGATCTTAATGTTAAATATAGAACTCATTTTCAAACGCCAGAAAACAATCATCCCTAGAAAACAATCAATTCTCTAGAAGTGGCAAACTGATCATAGACGTATAAGTAAAGGGAGTGAAGAGAACAATAAATAAATGTTAAACAATAAACATGATAAACATGATGTTGATCAATCGTGGAACTTATAATCATTAGCTCCTACCATGGATAAAACACACTCATGTTTTATCTATGCTCCTACTCATAAAGTGCTAATCTTTTAGGATGCATTTCCTTATGGCTGATTTCAGGCTAAATAAAATACAAATGAAATATGTTTACAAATTACTGTGTTTAGTTTATTTCGTTATAATTCTGGGGTTGGGCAATGACCTCGAAATGAGTGCGAGCCACCGTGAGTAGAGTGGGCGGTGGGAAGGGGTGGGTGTATAACCTTGAAGCTATATTTAGACTTGCACCACTTCCCTAAAGGGCTGGGGAAGGGAATTCCAATCGCAAAACAATGATACAAAGTTGTTTATCAGAAATTCCTTGTTCGGTTTGACAATTATTTATCATTGATTTAGTAGGAGAAATATTCCAATTAATTCCATGATTTGCTTTTTACATAAAAATACAACATTGCACAATCGTGATATTTTAGGTCATTGACCGATGATCTTTATTATACGCATCCGTTACTGCTGTTTCAGAAGGGAAACACGTCAATAATTAAAAATAATTTATGTTCGCGTTGTTGAAAATAATTATTATCTAACTTATAAAACATTAGTTAGCTCATAAATATATCAACATAAAAAAGCCATTATTCTTTCTCTTCGTTCTTGAATTATTTCTTCGGTTTCCTTCATTCATCCAAGCATTCAACAAGTTGCCATGGTTACTATACTAATCACCCCATTAGCCGATTAACCTCATGCGGTGCATGGAACAATTATTTTTGATACGAGATCCAGAGGTCTCGTATCGTAATAAAGTAAAAGTTTATTACTTCAGTGCGTTACGAGATCTATTTATCTTGTTCATTTCATGTTTACTAGTTAGTTGATAGATTAATAAAAATGCATTATATATGTACAAGTTTAATTTCTTTACGATAACTGTACGCCAAAATATCGATGTTGTAACTTAAGGAAAGAAACCAAATTATGGGTCCTGCACAACGGGCTAGGTACGATACGAGACCTCGGGATCTCGTAGCGCATTGAACGTGTATAACTAATGCACAGATGTAAGTGTTCTTTTATATATTTTTTATTTTAAAAAAATGTCTAAACAGTCTTTTTATTGGAAGTATTTTAACTAGTTTACGTACATGGAATTGACCTCAACCTTACGGCCACGGTAGCAAGTTAGCATTATTTGCACGATATTTTCGTGCCGGTGAGACACAGGCTAGTTGCCTGACTCTATCCGAGACTGGTAAGCTACGGTAATACCATTATTGTACGGTATTTTCGTGCGGACAAAACACAGGCCGGTTGCCTGGCTCCATAAGAGACATTGCAAAATTTGTCTTGATACTGGAACTGGCATAATAGTTTTGTGTCGGCAAGATTTTGGCCGGTTGCCTGACTAGCTACAGTACTAAGCTGACTAGTTTTCGGATGATAACATGGTATTAACTTCGCAGTTTGCATCGCCATCATTTTATTTGGAATCATCTAGTCTAAATCTAGACTAGATTAACTGTTGTACGTGATAGTGTAATATTATTGATAGTACATGACTAGTTTCGTCTAAAGATTTAGTGTTGTCCCAAAAATAAATAAAAATCTGTAGGTCTACAAAAATTTAGGTGACAATTTAAGCAAATTCCGTGACAATAGGGGACATCGGTGACACATTACTAAAATCGGTGACTTTTCGGTGACTTCGGTGACAGGTAGACACCCTGTAAAGGCTACAGATTATATGATATGTAAGTTACTTTGCCTGGTGTAATAAAGGATTTTCATTTAGGCCTAATTTAATATAGAGTCCTCAAATCTGAGCAATACTCCTCGCCACCTTAACTAGAGCAGGCCCAAACTGACCTGCAGGGCCATTACCGGCTGGTCCCGTACACCCCTTTACAATCCTATTAGCGACGCTATCGTGAACGCCCTAGTTCAATATAAACATAGACTATATACAAAATATATACAGTATATATATATATATATATACTTACAAAAAACATTTAATGTTTCATCACAAAAGTGCTAAGTTAAGGAACGATATATCGGGCCGCTATCGTATGAGGAATCGAAAGAAACCAACGCTGTTTCAAAACAACAACCGAGTCAACCGATATGCCCATTTAAACTCAAACGACTGAAAGTGGCGCCGGCATGATATATTTTTGCTTAGCACTGTTCAGATGAAACGCAAACAATGATACCTATATCGTATATTCAGGAAAAAGACGCTCAACGATATATCATCTAATAGCACTGAAAGGGCTAGGCCTAAACCATTTTACCAAAGTTTTAAAACTATTGTAGCTTAATCCATCCAAAAATAAATGTGGTTTTTGTCATTCTGCTAGTTTTAGCGAATTTTTAACGAATCCCTTTTATAATTGACTGGGCTCGAATTCGGGGGGTTAATACTGTAATCTAAGTACCGTACTTATAGGTCATAATAAAGTAGGCTAGATTGAACAAGTTAAGCCTGTACAACTTGGTATTATTTTAATAGCTATGCATTGTAGGCCTATATCTATTACATTAAGTAGTACCTAAGTTAAGTTTTGATGGTAATGTTTTGACACAATCTTCACCATAACGTGGTCGGTGAAAGGCTTCAAATGAACAAATATATGCCATCAAATATTTGGACCCAGTTCAATTCAATACCACTGTCCCAATTTTGACTTGTAAGCCTGCCTATCTTGTTTCTGAGTTTTGAAATGTAGTTTAGTTTGACTATTGGCTGGTAAACTAAAATAATGCCAGATACAGTAGGCCTAGAGCGCAGCCTTGTTAATCCGTCACCTATAGGGGACCAGGACCATGGGCGGATCAGTGAAAAAGTCGGCTTATCCGAGTAGCAGCGTTTTTATCACAATTTTGCCGTGATCACAGAACACCAAATGATGTTTCCGATAGGCCTAACTAACTTCAGATATTCAGGATTTAGCTACGATCACATATAACGATTCAGTTTCTGTAATCGCGGTAGCCAATCATATTGTCCCTACGAATTCAGCAGATGTTCAATATTTTGTCATAATCGCTGAAGAATTTGTTTATGATTTTTCTATACTGGTGGAAGATGATGATAATGTTCCTATGCCCACAGGAGACGTTCAATATTTTACCACGATGATGTTAAAACGATGGTAAAGTTTCTGGTAACATATTACAGGAGACGTCTTAGATTTGGTCACAATCGCGGGGAAAGACGCTAACATTTCTGTTACATCACTGATCGTGCATGATGATGGCAATGTTCCTGTGACTGTTTACGTAGCCTATCAGCAACAAAATCTTTTCCGACATTGTGGGAAACGATTTTTATGTCCACACGACCATGGGAAATGGTCATGATAAGTTAATACCAGTACCTACTACAAAACAATTCTCATCAGATAGGCAAGGAGTCAGACTAGCCTAGAGGTCTTATTAGTGGGTTCTAGCTTACCGTACCTATTAGCATTGGCCCTGAATGAAGTAGGCCTAACTTAGGCCTAGCCTGTGGAAAAATTGTTTTAGGCTTATCAACAAAAAATTAATGACATAAGTTAAGAGAAGACAAATCTGTTAAGCTTGAGGTTAAAACCAACACAACAGCAAACTCGATAAGTTTCGTCACTACGATAACCTAGGGTAGGCCTACTGTCAATAGGCTTGGCCTAACAGTTTGGACCCCAAACATAGGCTATCCTTCTTTGGTTTAGGCCAAATCACAATATTTGTTAGGGTTGGTAGCATATGGTGGGGTTTTCAGTTTAGATGCCAATACAGGACCAGTTCATTCTAGGCCTAGGCCTACAGCCTACGTATATTCAGCCTAGCCCATTACCTTAAATAAAACCCCCAAGGACACATGTTAAAAGCTAAGTGTTATCAGTGTTTTACTATCCCTTTGGTGGAAACAACTGCATGACACTCATAATGACTTGCAGCAAATCGTTAGCTAAATTGTGTGCAGGTAAAAGATTGGACAAACGTGAATGTTAGACTAGACCTAGGTCTAGGCCTAGGCCTACCATGGACACGTGACCTATTAGTAAAATAAACCCCAATTCCTACAAAGACTGACTGGGACTGGGCCCTACTCCATTATGATAATAATAACCAAGTATTGAAAATGACAAAAGGATACACTTGCAATCGTTGACCCATGTCTTGAATGAAATTGGCAGCTTGTTGCCTACATGAGAGTTCCCTATCTGCATCATAGCCACACTTTCGACTAGGAGTATTGGCCAGTTGCTCTTTGGTGAAATACCATTTTTCATCCGGTTCCATTTCTGTATTTTAAGACGCTAACAGCATCACACGAGAATTTAATTTTAAAAAACAATCTTTTAACGTAAATAAAGCATTTCCTAGCAAACAAATACACACAAATAAATTTCAGATCCTTTCATTTCAAAGAAGAATAATGCGTATCAAGCTCATTCTATGCTCCAATCCAAAATCCAACGTTCCAAATACCACCGAATATTGGAAAAAAATCAGCCACACGTCACAGCGTAGCTAACCACAAACTCTGAGAGTAAAAAATTGAAAACATATGCAAGTTAGTTATTACAGACCAAAATCTATGCACTATTCATACGAAATATTCTATAGGCTATCTATTATAACATGCTTCCAGAAAGTAAAATTAAAGTTGAAGTTAAAATTAAAATAATCTAGGCATTATTTTTTATCAACAATTATTTATATAAGTATGTCATTTTACATAATATTCGTCACATCTGACTATTTCTCATTTTATTCCAACAACACTGGCTATGATGGCTATAGATAGTATTGTAAATAAGATCTTAAATGCTTTAGAAGATAGGTGCTTTGCTCAGATCACATTATGTTATCTGATCTGAGTAAAGCTTTTGATTGTGTTCCACGTGGTTCAGCATTGTATTCTCTACGAGAAACTAGATCACATTATGGTTTTCAAGACACTGAATGAAATATGTTTGTGTCTTTTTACCTTAAAGATAGAAAACAGGTTGTGGAAGTTAATAGTCAGAGATCGCAGGTCACTGATGTCAAATATGGAGTCCAAGAAGGTTCGATAATGGGGCCTATCTTAGTTTTAATTTGAATGAAATATATTTGTCCTAAAATGTTCAAATAAGACACTATGACTACCTACGACACTACACTATGACACTATGTGTAGTAGTAGTGTTTAAGTATTTATGCTGACGTCACCACTTTGTTCAGTAATATATCAATTGCAATGTTTAAACGAGCATGCTTTAAATGAAGCAACAAAATGGTTTACCTAATGGTTTGCTGAATACCGACAACACCAATTGTTTATTTATCTCAACTCATGATAATGTTAGCTACAACTATGTAAAATTGCTATAGGTATACATATAGCATATAGCATATGGTAGGCTATCTTGGCAGCAGCATATAGACTCTATTTGTGCTCGATTATATGGTGTGGTTCTTCTACAAAGTAATTTAAGAAATCATGTCACAGTTATTTAAAATTAGCCTACTTTGCATTCTTTGAAAGCATTATTAGACACGGCATTTTTATTTGGGGAAACGGAGTAGGAGTCATGTCAAACAAAATATATAGAAGATAGAGTAAGGCTGTCAAGAGCTTAGAACTACCATACCCTACTTGGGTGTTAAAAATATTTAATAAGTTTCCAGTAGATTTCAGCTAGCTCTTTGCCTTTAAATGTTCTCTCTAACAAACTAATGGGAGCTTGCTGTACCTTTTCTGGTTCAATAATGCTTTTTAGATGGAGATTCTCTACAAGTTCGAGTACATGTAGCAAAAAAACACTAAACCTACCATACAGTTTTTTTTGCACACTTAATTATCACACCCATCTTCATTTTAAAATAGTTGTTTAGCCTCCGGATTACTGTATTATACTTAAAATTGTTTACAATACCTGCATATAGTGATCCTTTGTTGCTGATTTAGGCAACTAGTCTCGGTTCTTGTTTTGAACCATCATCAGGCCTCAAAGTGTTTAGTCTAGAATTTACATCAGCCCGGTCACGATCGATTGTCAATGTCCCTTTGTGTTATTTGTGTTTTCCGTTCCGTGTTATCGGGTTTTGTATATTTTTTAATTTATTGAACTCTGTTTGTTAACGACCTTCGAATGAAGTGATTACCTGACACCTTTGAGGCCTGATGATGGTTCAAAACAAGAACCGAAACTAGTTGCCTAGATAAGCAACAAAGGATTACTATATTCAGGTATTGTAAACTATTATAAGTATCACACCCATGTCTTTATTTTAAACCACTTTTTAAAGAAATATATCAACATAAAAATTATTTTCAACCATTTAAAAAATACAAATTTTTGCAATATTCTAAAAATAAAAATAAATTATTTCTGTATAAAAATGTAATTAATATAATGTTTGGTTTAATGTGCTCACTAAGTACCCAGACTGATGCATGGACAATTTTACGTTTCTATGTATTACAGTTTTTTTTAACTATGTGTACCTAAATATAAAAAAAACTTTCGGAAAAGCTTTGCAGCACCACACACTAAAAGCCATCAGAATAGTGTGGCCGAAACCTCGGTAGGAGCTATCTTTGATTATTTATTTGATTATACATTTTCTTAATCAGGAAGAAACGTAGATTAGTTTGAGCTGAAAAACCAAAATTGCATTTTTTAAGACATAGAAGGTTCCAGTCTCCCCTTAAAGTGGTGCAAAATCAATCCAATGTACGATATAAATTTTTTTTGTTAAATTCATAAACAAATGATCTAGACTTTTAAAAGTAGCCTTTATTTATATTCTTTTGGACGAAATCCATTGTAATTGTGTAGTTACTGAACGATGAATAAATTGTCTATTGTCTATTGTTCAGACGGTCTGGTCTTTTAGTGTGAAACCAGACGACGTCGTTCCTGCACAAAAATATACGAGGGTTGATGAGTAAAATAAATGAGTTTGGGATTGTGATGTGGAAAGCGAAAAGGGACCTCTTGTTGGCGGTGCAAAAATTTCAGTTCGGCCGATATAAGTAATTAAGGTCGAAAATATCGAAATTCGGGTTTTTATCGATTGTTATACCTCATTTATCATAGAACAGGACAGTATCGGTTAAAATATCGAATTGAAGACATAAAAGGTCGAAATAAATCATTTTGTTAGCCTCTGCACGGTCTGAGAAAAGGTACCTCTTGTCGCTCAATGTTATTTCGCCATAACGACAAGAGGTCCCATTTCTAATATTCACTTTATAAACAGATTTTAGCCCAAAAAATGAATTGTCCTGCATTCTAAAGGAAATTTAGAGAACTACAACAAATTTCAGTATACGGAGAACAAAATATCTCACAAATTTTAGACAAGTAGACACAAAGTAGTAGACCATAGCTCACATGACAGTGGAACATAGCATGATAGATGTTAAGCAGGTACTGTTCAGTACGTAATAAAATTTCGCAGCTTGAGCAGAAGACAGCACACCCTAGAAAGTTTGCTGCAAACGTTGCCTATGTGATTGTTCCATGCCAATTTCCTGTCCAGGTGGAATCCAAGTAGCTTAACTGGTTCATTAGGTGGGGCATTTCTTGCCAGACTGCAAACCAGTGTCTGGGTTTTTTCCTGGTTGAGCAGAAACCCATTTTCTTCGAACCAGCGGGATGCTACGGAGAGATGTTGTTTGGCATCTGCAGTGGACAGCTCAACTTGGGGACCCCGTGATACCAGGGTTGTGTCGTCGGCAAAAAGCACCACCCCTCCATCTCTATCAAAGTCATTAATCATTACTAGGAACAACAACGGTTCCACAATCGATCCCTGAGGGACACCGTACCTGACACTCTTGGGTTTGGATGTTGCGCCCTCCACAGAGACAACCTGATGCCTTCCAGCCAGATAGGAGTCAATCGTCTTTAGTGCCAAACTGTCCACTCCCAAATTCCTCAATTTCCCATGCAGAAGATTGTGGTTAACACAATCGAAGGCCCGACTCAAGTCACACATTGTGAGAGTCACCGTGTCATCAGCCTCGAATGCTTCACCAACCAAGTCAGCCAACTTCTTAATCGCACCAGTGGTGGACCTCCCTTTTCTAAAACCATACTGCCCATCGGATATTAAGCTGTTCATCTCCAAATACTGTGTCAGTTGGGCTGATATTATGGCTTCAATAACCTTCCCCAGAACAGGCACTATGGAGACAGGCCTGTAACTGGCAAGAGATTCTCGATCGCCCTTTTTGTAGACTGACACAGTCCTTGAGGTCTTAAGGCATTGGGGGAAAATACCATTTTCCAAGGAATCATTAATAACAGTGGCCAGAGGGGCTGATATGACATCAATAATGTTCTTTAGCCAAGATGCAGACATTCCATAAAAATCTGGGCTATTAGAGTTCTTAAATTTTGCCACAATTCGCAAAATCTCTGCTGAAGAGGTAGGTTGCCAATGATGCAGGGTAGAACTATGCAAGTCACTTCCGGCCTCCTGCTGGATGTTTCTAACAGGCCCTAGGCTAGTCACAATGTTGTTCACAGACTCAATAAAAAAATCGTTAAAATCATCAGGGCTGGAAGGTAGCTTGTAGGGCACATGACAGCTGGTAGTTAACCTCACCACATCCCATGCAGCCTTGCATTGATTTTTCACTGATTTAATCATATTCACATTAGCTTCTTTTTTAGCCTCAATAATGCATGTTTTATAGGCCCGTTTCATGTTAAGGTACCTAGCCAGTACAACCTGTATACAGTACATTGTTAATTATTCTGGTTCAATAAATTATTTGATTTGTATGGGGGGCTTTAAGGTGGCCATGTCTATTGTCTGTGGGACTGTGGTAACATCCAAACAAGAATAGGCCTAAGTCATAAGTCTTTATTGCCATTAAATACAATAAGTACAATAGGCTCGTAATTTAAATAAATAAAACATGCAAAATCAAATCTATCAACAAATAATTCAAATAAATAAGCTCAAGTCAAAAAACAAAACAAGAAAACATGCACAAACCATGCAGGTGTACCTGAAAATGACTCAAATGGTTACCACCAGATTGCTTTTGTCGCAGTTGAAAAATTCGGAGATATGGTAGAAAGGATTTAGAGTGAGCCAATTTTTTACAAAAGTGGAGAATTTTTGTGTGTGTAAATTTCTTGTACATTGGGGCAATTTGTTGAAAAGTTTAATGCCTGAAACAGGAAAAGAACACATTGATTTTTGAAGCCTATTTCTAGGTACAAAAGATATCAAACTTATTCCTGGTATCATAACTACATCGCTATTTACATGAAGAGAGTCTTGTCTGGCTTTTATTGCCACAAGACACTGAAAAATGTACTCATTTACAATTGTCAAAATTTCATTTTCAACAAACAAAGGTCTGCAATGGTCAAGGTACCCAGCATTTGAAATTACTCTAACAGCTCTCTTTTGAATTGATAGAATTCTCGGAGTACCAGTGGCATGGCCCCACAGCCTGGTTCCGTAGGCTAAAATAGACTGAAAGAAAGCATGGTAGGCCTGCCTAACTGTTGGCCCTGGAAGCTCAGACATTAGCTTTCTAAGCAGGAACATCACTCTGCTAAGTCTCTTACACAGGACATCTATGTGGCCTTCCCAAGACAACTTGGGATCCAGTACAAAATCGATATTTACTGATATCGGAGATCATCCCATTTTTTTTTTTTACTACACATACTAGCACCATCCCACAACCACTAAAGCCCCCCACACACTACAAGACCAGACCTCCAGACCAGACCGTCTGGCTGCAACCAGACCGTCTTGGACGGCTCTACACACTCCCAGACCAGACGGTCTAACATTCGTAATTGAGAGACCGTGGTGAGAACTCCAACAATGGATGAAGACTGTCATGATGGTCGGTCGTCTGACAGACAGCGCTACACACTCACAGACCAGACAAAAATAGTGGTGGGGGAACCTCAGACCGTCCGTCTGTGGTCTGAGGGTTCAACCATCAGACACGCAGACCGTCTGGTCCGAGAAAATCGGTCTGCAGACAGCCCCACACACGATAAGACAAGTGCCAGACGCCAGACCAGACGGTCTGGTCTGTAGGTCTGGTCTGGTAGTGTGTGGGGGGCTTAACACCATAACACAACACACACAATACGATACAGAACGAGTACACTCGATCGAGTACAGTACAGTTGGGATGGGATTGGGTTGGGGTAGGAAATATGTGATATGTATAGTTCGGTTGGTATTGGATTGGATTGGATTAAGATTAAGACAAAGATTGATTGGTTAAGTTTTTTAAGTTAAGTTTAGGTTTAGTACACAGACGAGACAACACAACACATTACTCAGTCAAGAAACGCCACGTTTGTTTAGTTTAAATTTACTTAACTTAGGCCTAGTTTCATTAAAAACTAACATCACAGTTTCTATCAGTGAAGGATCCAAACTTTAACCTACTTATCTTTATTATTGTTTTAAGTTTATATTTGATTAGATAATCCCTTCCAGTGATGAATTATTTTTGTTTTACCATTTTTATTATGTATCAATTAATATTTCAACTGGGACAGTGTGCAAAATTTGATCTCCAACAAATGAAATGTTTAAGTAAGAATTGTTCTTTTCCATAATTTAACAGTCCACAATTAGGCCTAATTTTTAGTTGGATGGAACTGATATGCCAGTGCATTGTTTTTTAGGTTATGTACTAGCAATATAAAATTATTATAATTTTTATCAGTTTCTAATCTGCCAATGCATCTGAAGGCAGTCAGACCACCTTAAATTCAAAAGAAATTTAAAATCATTTATTTTATATTCATGTTATTAGAGCGTCCTTGACTTCCTGACTAACAGCGGCTACTTAGCATTTCAAATTTCCCTGGGATTAATCGTAAGACATTAATTGTTTTAGTTAATTTTAAGTATTATTGTAATTTAATCCTGACGACTTTTATTTTTAGGCTATTTAAGTTCAAACAGCACAAATTACATAGGCACACCTAAACTTTGTTAAAACTAAAACAAACACATAAATTCTTTTCTCAAGACTATTTTACAGAGATAATTATTATGCCTACCGGTATCAATAAATAAAATTTCAAGGAGGTGGAAGAAATATCTATTTGCTAACAATTTGCTGTCTGTCATAAGCTACCTCTGGACTTGCTTCACTCCTGGGGTCTTGATTCACTAGGTCCCGCTATCTGACTCTGGGTCGTTCTAGCGGACGTCATCTCATTGTTGCCCCAGCCATGCCTTTATAACCATTGCACCAATTTTTTTACTCTGTACATTTCCCAGCTATTTCAATCTTATGCTATTCACTCTTGGCTATATTATATCCAGTTCTTTGTTCATTTTCTTCAGATCTTGATTATTTGTTATTCGGCCCTCTCCTCTGTCATTAATTGATCCAAATACCATTCACAAAGTTTTTTTTTCAAAAACTCAGTTTCTTTTCATGTTGTTTAACTGGCTGTATCTAGCTTTGTTCTCCTGGTTAGTAGCATAGATAAAACATATTTACTTGGTAGATTTCTCATCCTTATAGAACAGCTGAAGTGCAATTTTATTGTTCTCTGTCCGGTGTACTGTAGAGGTTGTGTTTTGTTTACAATTTGTATCTCGTTTTTTCAGTCATTTAAAACCTTGTTTAACCAAATACAACGATGTAGGTCCTAATCATGATCAATAACTCGTCCCCTAGTTATTATAACTATATATAACCAAACTGTAAATCCCAAATCATGAAATTAACCCTAAAATAATAGAAACAAAATTTCGCCCATACTAGCGATCAGTGAGATTTGAGAGATAACAAGTTAATCTATGAGTTTAACCTTCACTACTTAGAATTTGTCAGCTTGAAAAATAAATGTTATATTTCTTAATAATTTTATAAAATAAAATAAAATTATTTTTTTAAGAAAATTTTAATACAATTATTTATTTAACTTATATTTACACTGGACTGAGAATTTCTATGAACAGAGCGTTTTAAGGCCTGAATTATAAAGGCATACATTTTGTTTTTTAATTACATTTGTTTTTTGAATTAAGTTTACTTCAGAGTATTTTTGAAATATGTCTAAAACTTTATGTGGAATTTGTTCAAAAGGGGTGAGGTCTTCAGCAAAATTTTGTAATAGCTGTGATAACTGGTTTCATTTAGGCTGTTTGAATTTGGACTACTCTACAGTAAAAAAAATGTCAATGGAACAAGTAAATCAATGGCAATGTACTGGATGCTTACAAAATACTAATAAAAATGAAACAGAACTGAAAACCGATATTCAACGAGAGGGGGTGTCTCTGGTAGAAGAAATAGACAGTGTGCTGTTGAAAGAAAAAGAAAATGAAGATGATTTAAAGCAAAAAGAAGAAGAACTGGAAGTAATGAAAAAGTGTCATGAAAACCAAGTACTTGATTTAGAGGATGAAATAAATACCCTTGAAGGTAAACTAAAAAAGGAAAAGGAATTGTAAGAAATTATAATATCACAAGCAGAAGAAGAAAAACGTGTCGCAACAGAAAAACTGTGGTATTTCTAATCAAACAACAGTATTAACAAATGCATGGAGTGTAACATACTTAGAGAAGAATCAAACAACATGATGTCATCTCTCAGAACCGTAGAAACCATTATATCACTGTTGAAATCAGAAAATAATGATCTAGAAAAAAAAACTACAGTCTATGGAAAATGTTAAATCCACCTGTTTAAGTTGTTTCCCCCCTCTAGCTACTCAATCAAGCATTAGGGTTGAATCTGACAGGTTATCAGATTGGCAGGAAGTTAAAATCTCCAAAAAAAGACAGTCTCAAGTTCTAATGAGAAGTACACCTACACTCAACATAAACAATCGCTTTGACACTCTCTCAGAAATCCACAAGAACAGACAAGAAGATGACACAGAATTAGTTCCTTCTACAACAATTAAACAAGCCAATACATCTGTAAACAAAAATATTGAAAAAAACAAAATCAAGAAAAAAACTAAAATGCTTTTGTGTGCTGATAGCCATGGCAGGGATATCTCACATCATCTAAATGGAAACACTAAATCTCTTGAGGCAGTAGGTTTTGTAAGACCTGGAGCCTGTGTAAATGAAGTCTTAATTGAGAAGAATATTGACGGGGAGAAACTTAACGAAGAAGATTTTTCGCTAATAATGGCTGGTTCTAATGATATTGCTAGAAATGAGGCCCAGCATGCCCTGGATAGTACATCAAAAACAATAAAAAAAATACAGCAAGCAAAGAATAATAGTTGTAGATTTTCCATTAATATATGACTTGACAGAATGATCTTGCGTGAACACTGAAATCAGGATCTCGAATGAAACTTTGGTACAAATGTGTTGTCAGTACAATAATGTAACACTGGTAAAAGTGAGTTCAACTGAGCGTTATCACCACACACAACATGGACAACACCTTAATAGAATCGGCAAGAGGTGGCTGGCCAATAAAATCATTGAGGCAGCATCTGAAACCCATATAGCAACGAATGAGGCCCTTACATCCAAATACAATGATGAGTTCTACAAGCTACCGGAAGAGACATCGCAGGATGTCATCCCCATCACAAACAGCTGTGAGGCACAGCAGTCCACACCCACAGGGAAACGACCAAGAGATGACAACACCAGCCAAATTAGGTTAGGTAGCTCTAGATTAGATTTTAAGATTAGACATAATTAAGATTCATTAATGCACATAAACATTCAAGGAATAAAAGAAAAATTCAAGGAATTAAGCTTAATTTTGGATCAAATAAATAAAAAAACTTTAATTAGGGGAGAGTGTTGTACCTTTGACCATCTTGTACCTTTGACCACCAGTCATATAGTGAAATCTAGAGGCTGTATAGGGAAGCTAATGAAACTAGTTCATAGATCAGCCACCAGAGAACTACTTCGCCTTGCATTGGAGATTGAAAACTGTGTTGGAAGATATTTGAGTTTATTCATTTTTGCTACTGAAAAGTAAAAATTTGTTGACTTAGGGGCGGTTCACGAGCTCGGGACTTCATAGCCCGCGACCAGACGTTGGTCCCGGACTATATAAGCGACGACCAAAAAATGGGTTCACGAGTCAGAGCCTAATGATGTGAAAGCCGGGCCCATTGTAGGTCGAGACCAAATCCATAGCGGAGCCTAATGACAGGGATTCGCATGGAATTTCTGTTGCGACGTTGGTAACAACCAGTAACAACAGTCTGGAAACACGTGAAGCCACTGCTGTTGACATACGCACTTCCATACAATAGGATGATCGTGATAAAAGACCAAAACGTCCTTCAAACCGATTATTTTTCTCGTTTTTCATTGTCCCAATGCTCGCCTATGATAATCTAAGTTTATTGATTTATAAACACAACAATCCACCTTTGTATGAAATCAGATAATGGAAGTCTTTAGTGACATATATATTTTTCTGTGTGCATTATTATAATTCAATTAAGATGCATGACATAAAATAACCGGGTATTTATAACCGGATGGATGCCTATTTTGCATAAATGCCCGATAATTAAGGATGGTGATTTTTGGATAGGATTATTTTAACTAAACTTATTTAAATGGTACAATTATTGAAACTAAAATGTATTTAGAAGTACTGATTATCTAAAATATATATAAACTAGCTGTAACCCGCGGGCTTTGCCCCGTTTAACTTCTTAATTTTCAAGATTCTCTCGTACGCATGGCTCAATCACGTCCTGGTTGAAGTTCTTTAGGTCCTTTAGGTTAGAGCTCGTTCGCTACGCTCACTCACCTTTAGGTTGGAACTCGTTCGCTGCGCTCACTTGCCTTCAGGTTAGCTCGTTCGCTACGCTAACTCGCCTCCAGGTTGAAGTTCGTTCGCTACGCTCACTCACCTTTTGGTTGCAAATTAGCTGTTGTCATAAATAATGTAAAAGAAATAATAGTGCTGCACCCTGTTGGTAATCCTTGTAACTTTAATGCTATTGAACATCATAGAACAGAACCAACTTGTTTAATTGAAACAACTGTTAAGATTCAATAATTCCATTTCTCATAAGGTTAACATGGGAAACTCCAGAGCCACTGGGGCGGAGCCCGAAAGGATTTTTGAAATAAGAATATGCCTATATGTTAATCGGGAATGTGAGCTATCATCATGCCAAATTTCAGCCCAATCCGACCAGTATTTTTCGCGTTCACTTGTCACAAACATACATCCATACATCCATCCATACATCCAAACTTTCTCATTTATAATATGAGTAGGATATATATAAATAAAATTAGAGTTTTGTCTGTATTAGATATAAAAATCGTATGTGTGTGCTGGATTTAATCGTGGCTGTAACCAAAGAATATTCTTTCCGT